TGAATGAATTTTATACTTGCAAGAGTCATGGAAAACCTGGAAAAGTCATGAAATTAGTCAAAATCATTATAAGTCACAGAACTTGTTTGTGTATAGTGAAATTATTAGAATCATCTTCAGTGGATAATCCTCCATATAATGTAACATAATGGCAAATTCATTTTCTGCAGCTGGCGTCTTAATGTAGCTTTAATATGCGTCAATGTGTGACAATGTTTGTTTACCATCAGGTGTGTTTTGTCATTTTCTCCCTCAGTTTGTCTCTCCCTTCCTGTGTGCCAATTATGTTTACATAGAGTTTGTGTAACTGTCTTGATTTTGAGTTCATAATTTTAACATGATTGTTTATAAATAACTTAACTTTTGCATTCATGATTGTGATAATATTGCTATGTACAGTATATAATATGCTGAGAGATGTATTTACATTTATTTGGTTTAATTGCACCCCCTGCTGTTATGTTTGAGTATTGCAATGAGTGTGGTGCGTAGAGGTCATGTGATCAAAAGCGTCAAGTTAGTGGGAGAGGAAGGAGACGAGAGCAGGAGGCGATAATTTTTTTCGTAGGATGGTAGGGGAAGGTACCGCCTTTTCCGCCTCTGATTGACTAGAAGGGCTCTCCTCTGATTGGAAAGCACATTGCCGAATTTGGAAAACACATCACCGAATTTAAGGTTGACACCTAAAGTGTGTGTCCACATCTTAACATATGTTCTCATAGGCACGAAAAGTATGCAAGGGAAGAGAAAATGGTAAACTAAGCGATTTCTCAAGGCACTTTGGCAGCACGCTCTGGAGGACAGACGTGTTGCAACTATTTCACTGTAAGGCTGGACTCCTCAATTCTCCAAACCAGCTAACGGAACTGAAAGTTGGACTAACCTCTTTTGAAGTCGGTGTTACTGTCGTGTGTTGTCACATGTCTGTCCTCCAGAGCGTGCTGCCAAAGTGCCTTGAGAAATCGCTTAGTTTACCGTTTCCTCGTCTCTTGGATACTTTTCGTGCCTATGAGAACATATGTTAAGATGTGGACATAAACTTTAGGTGTCAACCTTAAATTCGGCGATGTGCTTTCCATTAATATAAATCTGACGGCACGCACTTATCACACTGTTGGATTGACTTCGTTTATTTCTGTTGGAGGTAAAGACGAT